TGTATGTATGTATGTATGTATGCATGCCTTTACATATGTTCATTTAATACATTTAATATAAATATGTTACACATCGTATAGAGACAACGAGAGAGTGAGAGAGAGGAAAACACTAGAAGCAATTTGCCTCCGCTTCTACACAGTCTAGCAATCCATTCGGCAATCCGTCTATCCAACCCATGATGACCTAAAGAGAGCCCTTGTGGATCCGTTTGGTATGTGCCGCATGTTTCCCTAGCGGCAGCTGCAAAGAGCAATGTATCCTTTCGGATACGATCTCGCACCGCAGGGAATTAGTTATAGATGTTATATTCACAAATAGTGTAATAAGGGAAAGCAACGGATAGCTCAATAAGCTGCTTCCGTGTCTTCGGTTCGCTAAATAATTGCTACCACAGCAGCCTAGCATTTGCTAGAAAGGGCACGCCAGGTGCCAGGTTGAATTGAATGTTCACATTGCCTTCCTGGAGTCTCCCTGGTGACCCTGGTTGTTCACCCGGCTTTCTGGAAGCTCTTGGGCTGTTGATGGTGCAGCATATACTTGGGCTGAAATCAGGCCAAGGGTCCGCAAAAGTCAGGATTGAAAAGGACCTTTCTACCAACAAACGATCCCCTTTGCTCTGGATACTTCTACATACCTAAACACCAGCCACAATTGAATATGTCGCTTCTTTGCCAGCACCCTTTTCTCTATGCAACAGGTTCTTTGCTGTTTCGCTGTAGCTTCTTCGAAACACGGTTTTGATTCCAAATGCTGATTCAAATCGGACAATGTTTATGTTATTTTGCTCTGTGTGAAGCGTTGCTTAGTTGTATAATCAGTTGAATCTCATAGGTAGAAGCATGCAGTAGACTTGGGATGACTGGGGTACAATGTGGAACATTAAAGACTTAGTGCTTCCTTGCAACCTTCAAAAAGTTGGTAGCATTAGCAGCTCTTCTTTAAAGACACAATATACATACATGTATAGCTCCCAAACAGTGTACGTAAGTCCAGGTGCCCCTTTGCTGGTCCCTAGCATAGTTTTTGCACGGATATATCTGTGTCCAAGCGTGCCCGCACGCCCACGCGTTTGTGTGTGTACATATATACAGGGTACTTCTGGGGTATCATAGTTCTTGTTTCCTACACCAGAAGTCATACCCACACACACACAAAAAAAACATACACTGATCCATTGGGCTTGTTCATGCGCTTCAAACCTGCCGGTGGTGCATCAAAGTCAATCGCGGTGCTTAGCTGAAGCTCAATAATGCCTGGATGCAATGCCCCTTAGATGTTTGGTAAATTGTACCTTCTTTTCTGAACTGCCGCGGAAGGATCTGGTAGTTCACCGGCCTTTGATCATTTTCAGAGATTTGAATTGCTCAGCTTCACTCATCCTTGGTCAGGCTCGCCAGGTTTCAAGTCCCTTCAGCACGGGTTTCTATATAAGAACTTGACAAGCAAACTGGAAGTGATGTCCCACATATATAGCGAGAAGAGTGTGCAAATCTCAGAGGCTGACGAGTCCAACTGCTCAAAGAACCCAGGAGGGTCCTAGCAAGAGTAGCTTGCACTCTAGTCTGCAATTGTATTATGCTTTCTGCTATTGTGCCAGCATGAGAGGGTTAAAGAAAAAATACAAGTAGGTGGAGAAAGCCAAAAATGCAAATCCGAGTCTCCAGCTGTTTGTGAGAGAAACAACAGCAAGCCAAACAAGTGAATTGCCGGATAGTTTATTGGCCGAGCTAAACACACAGTGTGGAGGCGTGGTCACATGTAGAAGCCGCTTGTTGCGGCATAAAGTCGGCACCACGCGGAAACGAGTCTTCTTTAAAAGCCCGCTCCACCCTTCCTACTAAAATTCAGTAGGCACCTACTTCACTATGTAAGGGAGAGTAAGCTCCTAGCTACAAGTTTGCTCCTAGGTAGGAGGCAGGATAGCTCACGCTTCTTCAGGGAAGCTCCACAGCGTGAGGGCGGGGGGAGCTTCCTTGAAGAAGTGCTCGCACTAGTCATTTGGTGCCCAGATTTGGCGGAAACTTATATAACTAATAGCGATGGCCTCCAACCTAAGAGCGATGGCCTCCACCCTAGTATTGTGCAAATGAGTGTGATTCTTGTCTACACGACCTTGGCAAACGTAGCCAAAGTTCTCGAAACAAAGGAAAGCCCAATGATCCTTGAAACACCCTCTAGTTGGAAAGAAAGGGCTGTCAGGAAACCGAGAGTATCCTACGTGTTGCTTTTGATTTTTGTCTCACCAGCCCAACCTGTGACAATCTTTAATGGGTTTGCTGTGAGTTGGCACTGCGCACCTGTTGGGGCCCTGGGTCACCAACCCTTCTGAGATGATTCAATCAGAACTCCCTCTGAAGAGCGTCCTTGCTCCTAGTCCTAGTAGCGATGCCAGGAGCCCCTAGTAGCTTCTTGCTCCTAGTAGCGATGCCCTTTGCTCCTAGTAGCGTCCTTGTTCCTAGTAGCGATGCCAGGAGCCCCTAGTAGAGTCCTGGCTCCTCCCTCTGAGCGTCAGGCCTTGAGAGTCTAGACCGTCGCTTTATCTCCCGTCCACTAGGTCTAGGTCACATGTCAAGCTACAGAAACGCTGTCCTTGCGGAAAGACTCATACTGCTGCGGAGCGAATTCCATATAATCAGAGAAATACGCCTGGGCAAGCATGAAAGTCTAAAAAATTAGGCTTACCTATCGAGTCCAAGCCCTAGCTGGCCTGTTTGGCAAATTCAATGCAATGCAGTGGCCTTAGAAGCAGCGGTAAGCCGGTAAGCAAAAGAAACGTCACGCTCCGAGGCCATTCCAAGTGCCGAATCTGATTACTGGAAGAGTGCAAAGCTGGACGCAACACAACATGTCAAAATCAACGCATGATCTTATTCACCCGGAGTCCTTGGCCAAGCTGAGCTGGCGGCAAGAAGGGAAAGCTTCTCAATGTGCACATGGCAATCTGCGCCTCATTGGTGTCCGTCTCAATTCCATCATTGTAGCCTCGGCTTTTTCCACTCTCCCTTCTTCCAGTGCCAGATGGTACTGTTCCAATCAACAGTGCAAATCATTTTCTGGGCTTGTGGCTCTTGGTCAGGTGAGGCAGAAAAACATCACTGTTGCACCTGCCGGCAGACTTACTGACTACGAGGCTTGGCAATTAGTGTGGTAGCACTCTGCGCCGCCGATGGCGAAATTGTCTGATGCTGGGCAGCCCGGCTTTGTACCTAGAGTCCCCGACCTCAAAGCTACAAAGAAATCCAATAGTTGAGCATCAACATGTAGATGCTGTGCCATGCTGTACCCATCGTACCCCATTCTTTTTGGAACGAAGTCTGTGCAAGTCCCACCACGGTAGCCATGACATCACTTGACACCCTGAGGGGCCAACTCGAGGAGCGGCAAGCCTAACGTGACAGGGACTGCCACAGTTAACTGGGGGACAACCCCCTATGTTAGCAACCCCAAACTAGTTGCCTTTGGTCTTGGACATAAGTACCCCTCACTACTACAAACAAATCTATGCGTGTTGTTTGTCTGTTTAATGTGCTTTCATTGTTCTTTGGCCTTTTTATGTGTTTGTCTTGAGGATCAAATGGTGCGGCGCGAGATTGGAGTGGCCCTTCCAGCACAGATTCGTGTCAATGATGACTTTGACCCTGGAGAGTCCTTTGCGGAGTTTGAGGGCTGCCTGCGCTTTCTATCAGATTGGCCAGAGCGGAGGTAAGAGAAAGTGCTTCAGCAGACTTGTGGCTCATCAGGGTGCGATGGAGCTCATCATGGCTAAGGATGTTGCAGCTCGAGGCAATGCCATGAATCAGAGGATTCCCATGGAGCAAACTTTTGCCAAAGCACCGACAGAAGAGGAGAAAAGAGCTCATGAACTTACACGTGTGCCCTTTGCGCCTTGGTGCTCTGCCTGTATCAAGCACATCGCCCGAGAAGACCAGCCACAGGACTTCTGCAAGGTGAAAGCTGGAGGATCAGGTGCGCTGGGTGAAGAGGAGGAAGATGAGGCCCAAGAAGGAGTCCAAGACGAGAGTGGAGCCTTATGGATGGTAGTGGTGTGCTCAGAAACAGGTTCCATTCTTGGATTGCCTCTCAAGTCCAAGAACCAGATGAACCTGATCACCCATGAGCTGTTGGCATTCACACAGATCCTTGGACATGAAGAGGTGCAGTATTACTGGGACAATGAGCAGACAGCACGACAGGCAGTACGACTTCTGGTTTCTTCAAGGACGGCCATGGGTGTGAAAACCAGCATGCGCACAACAAAGCTGTATGACTCTTCGGGCAATTCACTATCAGAAAATGCTGTTCAGCGTGCGAGAAATGTGGCAGCAACGTGGATGGAAAGCTTGACAGAGAATTGGGCTTCGGTTCCACAGTCAACACTCACTTTGGTTGTGGGCCTGCAGACATGCAGCATGGACATTGAAGCGTTTCCAAGCCCTTCAAGGTTCGACAAGTTTTGAACTTACTCATGAGAAGGCCTATGAGGGGAAACTATGTCCCTTCGGAGAGGTGGTGCTTGCATACTCCAAACCAAAGCAAGGAATCAAGGCAGATCCAAGATGGAAAGTAGGCATCTGTTTGGGCAAAACAGAAGTTCAAGATGCCTGGGTCATTGGTGATGGCAATCGAGTCTTCCTGAGGAGAGTTGCAGATGCCAGTACCAAGTACCTTGCTTGCTATCAGGGCTTCACCGCCTACCCCTGGGAGTTCCAGCAAAACTTCGGTGGCAGGATTGTTCCTTCGAAGAGAGTTGCAGCAATGGTTGGAGGACCACTATTGGGTTTGCCCACTTCAGACATGAAAGGCATTGCAGCTACTGATGAGGATGCCAGAGAGGTCAGTGCCTTTTCTCGGTCCTATGCAGGCAAGCTTGAGGAGGCAAAGGACTTGGTTGAGACAGAGGAGAAAAAGAAGGAAGAGGTGAAGGAGCTAAGTGAAGAACAAAGAAACGCTGAGGGCTCCGACACGAAGCTATTTTTTGTGGAGGAGCCACACCATCGACCTCAGGATGCCAATGCCATTGATGAAGCAAGAAAGCAAGCCGGACCTTCTGCACCAGTGACGACGCCAAGAAGTTCATCTCAGAAGACTATCCTAGGTGGTGCTGAGACAGAGGGAGATCCGAAGAGGTTGAAGATTACTTCAGTAGTAGTAAGGCACTTGTTCCTAGTAGCTTCTTGTTACTACTAGTAAGGCACCTGTTACTACTAGCGTGGCACTTGTTCCTAGTAGCTTCCTATTCAGTAAAGCCAGTTCATGGGAGTGAAGGAGCAACCCCAGACCCGAAGAGAGTGAGGATTGAAGAGGAGAGCACGAATGTTGAGAGGAGAGTACAAGCAACAGCAGTTGGAGAGGACACCTATTACCACATGGACCACTTCTTCAATGAGAAGATGATGGCATGGGAGGATGAAGATGAAGAAGGATGAAGTTGAGGTGACCATTCCAGACGCTTTGTGGTCTAAAGCACCTCTCGATCGTGTGCTTCCAGATCCACCAGCAAGGGTGGATGAGTTGGCGGATGAAGTTGAGGAACAGAGACTCTCAAGATTGGGTGCGCTTGAAGAATGAAAGGAGGGAAAGAGGAATACAAGAAGCTGACCACACGATTTGTTCGGGATTGGAGAGTCAAGCCCCGAACAGATTTGCCTGATGCGCCAAAGCAGTTCCTTCGTAGATCCAGGTTGTTGGCTAGAGAGTGCGACAGATCGAAGAGATAATGTTCATAGCCCTGCAACTGGAGGACAAACATTGCGTTTGCTGCCAGTTATCTACCTCATGCGGAAGTTGGAGGAGGAGAATGGAGGCAGTCAACAGTTGTTGGGATCTTTAGACGTGAAGGATGTCTTGTCTCCAGGTTCCCCAAGAAGAACCTACTCAGGTCAGAACCGCCAGAGGATTCTATGAGGTCAAGAGAAACTTGTGGGGCAACGAGTGGGTGCAAAGGCATGGTTTGAGTATTTCACAGCATGGTTGTGTGAAAGAGGCTTCAAGCTCTCAGACATCAACCCTTGTTTGGGACGAAAGGATGACAAGATGCTGGTATTGGTTCATGTTGATGATGTCATGTACATGGGCAACAAGGACTACATTGAGCAGTCATTCCTTCCCGACATTCGCCAGAGCTTCGACATTTCGGAACAACACCTGGAAGGCAATGGGAGCACCTTTACCTTCCTGAGGAGGACATATGAACAGATTGAAGCAGGTCTGAAGATCCTTCCTGGAAAGTATGCAGAGAGTATGGTGGAGCAATACGAGGCCAAGATGGGTCGAGCAAAGGTCCAGCAATTGCCATGTGGCCAGGAGATGTTGGAAGTAGATGGTACAACGATGTTGAATGGTGAGTTGGCAAGTTTATATCGATCACTTGTGGGATGTGGAATCTATTTGTCCCAGGAGCGGCCTGATGTGTCTTTCACCATCAAGGAGCTTGCTTCGTCTATGGCATGCCCAACTACTGGAAGTTTGAGAAGACTTGGCAAGCTTGTCAGGTACCTCCAAGGCACATTGGGGCAACCAAACAGTGTGCTGTATCTTCCGGAACCGGGACATGGGTTGGCATCGAGGAGTTCAACAACATGATGGTTGATCGAGACCTTCACCGACAGCCGATTGGTCAGGTTCAAAGAATCACAGGAGATCGACTTTGCGGCAATCCATATGGTGAATGTGCTGCTGACAAGTTCCCGAGGCCAGAAATCGGTGAGCTTGAGTTCAACAGTGGCGGAGTTGAATGCCATTGTTTCAGGAGCAGCGGATGGCATCTACCTGAGAAAATGCTTGGAGTTCCTGGTTGAGGAGGAGACAGCTCATTACAAAGGACCGGGCAAGTTACGGCACATAGCAGGCAAGCTGTTGTGGATTCAGGATTTGGTGGCGCAGGGCGATCTCGAAGTCAAAGCAGTAGGCACAGTTTACAACATTGACTTAGGCACAAAACCGTTGACGACTTGGCACAACGTGTGCATCTCATTTTGCATTGGTGTTCAATATGGTTGACCTGTCCGAGTGTACAGCACTCTTTGGCGGCCCGGAGTTCGAGCCGCCCAGCGCCATCAGTGGATAGCGGCTCGGAAAACGTCCCATGTCCAGCAGGGCCGAACTGGAGGGGCAGAGTATTAAATACAAGGCTGCTGAAGAGGCTGTATAAGCAGCAAACGAAAAATGGCCCTCTGACAAAAGACAAAGCTAGAGGACTCGCCACAACCCGTCGCCAGGCATCGAAAGTGACGGTGGCAAGCCGAAGGAAGATGGAGGATAGGAAAATCATTGGTGCAGGGTTTCAATGGTGGAGAGTTGTTGGGTCAGGAGGAGCACCAACGCCTTGAGGAGACTACATTGAGCAAGAACAAGATCCATCGGCTAGCTAAGCTTTTCAATCGCATTTTGCTTCTGGAAGGCCTTGAGCATGTTGCCGGAGAGCGTGCGAGTGTGGAGGTGGAGTCACCAGTTACCAGTTGACAGCTGGTGCCTATGGGCCCTCATTGTGTGCTTGTTGGCATTGGTTGGACCGTTGATCTTTTGCGTGTACAAGTTGTGGAAGAAGCTTGAGAGAATGGAGGCTCAGCTTCAGACAGTGGTTGATGATGCCAAAGTTGATGGCATGATGATTGGGGCATTTGGACATGAGTCAAAAGAAGGCCTTGAGAAGTTGGAAAAGTACATCAAGAAGGTTCACCGGGGGCTGATCAAAGCTTCTTGATATGTCGATGAGGCCGAGTTCGGTGAGGATGACTGGAGGTATTGGCATTTGGGACTATCTCCAGAAGTCCAAGAAGGAGTTCGACATGTGGAGAATCGATGCACAGATCAAGGCTTACATCCAGGCCAATGCAGCACAGGGATCAAGACAGATCAAACTCAAGGATGATGCAGAGGAGGTTGATCCGGAGGATCTAGTTCAGGTCCAGCTGGATTCAGGAGAGATCATTCAGGTCAGAGCAGGAGACCTACACGTTTGGGAACCAGAGAGTGAAGATGAAGGGCCAAACACTATGGAATGAGATCAAGGACAAGAACATGAGAGCAATGCAGCGCAAGACAGCGATCCTACCCTCTCGCAAACGACTCAGGGATGGTTCACAGATCGAGCAATGCGCCGAATAATTCAGTATGATACTCCGGGAGCACGGTCGTGTTTGAGGGCGAAACAGCATGTCCTTCAATTTCAAAGGCAGCCGTTCGAGCTGAGGACACCACGAAGCCAAGTTTGAACTTTACAGCCGCATGGACATGCATTACCCCTTTCTACATGCGACCAGCTTCCATTTTAAGCATGCAGATGGTGAGGTGAGCACATTAATTTTTGACTCACCACCACACCAAGGAGTAGTGCGCAATAAAATCCATGTCGAGCGATTTACTGAAGGCCTTTTGGAGTCAAGAAAAGTGCGCAGTTATACAGTAGATTTAAAAAAGGGTAGTGATAATTGACCGTCTCACACTGGTCACGCGAAATAGACTTCTTCATTCGACCCCGGATGATCCACATAGATGTGGTCAGACGCAGTAAGAAGACAAAACTGTCTTCCTCCTGAAGTATATATATACCGTCTTGTCGTATTCTAATTCCTATTCTAATCAATTTTTATGTATATAATACGTAAGCATGTCTTTCTTCTTGGCGCTGTTTAGAACACTAAAGCCAAGTGGGCCCGAAGTCTCATGACACCATTCAATCGTCTTTACCAAGAAGCTACTAGTAACAAGGTGCATCGCTGCTATGAGCAAGAAGCTACTAATTACTACTGGTAACAATAAGCTACTGGTAACAAAGGGCATCGCTACTAGGAGCAAGGACGCTACTAGGGGCTCCTGGCCTTACTACTAGTAACAATAAGCTACTAGTAACAAGCAGTAGCATGGGACTCAGTGTGTCCCCTGGCTCTCAGGCCATATCAACTCAGTCACTGGCCATACCAAAGGCAGCACTTGTCTGTGTACCTCGTCAGGTGTGCAAAAAAGAATCAAAATAACATACACATCATACACAAGCTGATTCAAAACGGTCGGAGATGCAGGTGATAGAAACTTATCCTCCAGCTCTGGCCCTTCACATTAGCCCCTGCATGCCGTCGTTCAAGACAACTCTCCCCAGTTCTGTTGGCACCTGCGTGCAATCACATTGTCCAGAGCATTCCAGCAAAGGTCCTGCATGCTTTCTGCATCAGAAAAGGACAAGCAAATAAATATATAAGTCTGTTGCCTTCAGAGAACAGACTTGCTGAATGCATGCCTTTTTGCCTTTTCTTTGGTATCATCATTGGTCACGAGTCACGAGTCACGATTCGTCCCTTCTAAGTTGCAGCTTAGAATACCGCTGGCAGTCCAGGCTATTCCAGAACTCGTCGTCAAAGAAATCCTGCAAAAAGTTCAGCTTCAATCCAGCTGCCTGACGTGCCTGACGCCTTAGGCACCCATTGCAAGCTGTGCGTGCAAAGCGTCGGAACCCTCGCAGGAAAATATTGCTTCTCAGCGGTCCTCGGAGGTAACGCCCACGCCCTTCTCCAAAGCCTCAATCTTCAAATCTGGATTCCAGCCTGGCTGTGAAGCGCCAAGCAATCAAGAGTAGAACTGGTGTGGAGAACGGCCTCTGTCCCCGCCTTTCACCACACGGGCAGCTGAAGTGCTCTTGGGATTCCTTGTTCAGACACAGTTTTTCAACCGTTGCAATCTTTCCGCTGGCAGTTGTGTGACAGTGCAAAAGGACGCAAATGAACAAGAAAATGTTTCAACAAGAATGCCACGACCGGAAACAAAAGGGACCCAAAACCTCAGAGGCGGACCCCACGTCTGGCTGCCGGAACAAGAATTGGCGGCTGAGGTTTGACACCTTCGGGACAGGCGGGCATTATATATATATATATTATATATATAGATATTAACAATGTGTGTGTTTTATGTTTTTGCAGCCCTTGATAGATCAAGAACCAGGGTCAAATGAGGTGCAACAGCTCTAATATATGACATGTGCTTATTGTTGTGCCACTTGCGTGTGCAAATGAGAGTGATTCTTATTGATTCTCTAGATAAAGGGAGTGATTGAGATAAACGACAGTGCAAGCATTCATGCAACTCAACCGATACCGATATTGATACAGACTTATAAAAGATTCACACCACTGATGCTACTGGCAGGAAAAAGCGCTGGTACAAGCATTCGTGGAGAAGCTGTTCACATGATATGCAAGTGCTTTTGCTCCCAGATGCCCATTGTGTCTGGAGTTGTTAAAGAGAGCAGTGCACAAAATATGATAAACAAGCTTAGGCTTCCAGGTCAAGCGCTTGCCTCGATCCGGTCCATGTCCGTGACGATCAATTTGCCATTTGGTCCACTGCAAGCACCTGGCAATCTTTATACATCCAAAATGCAAAATGCTCTGCATTGCTCGGCATTGCTTGGCATGCAAAAACATGCTTGTGATACCCATGAGCGCAAGGCCCTTAAGATACTCACAACCCAAAGCGCCACAGCCCACCAAAAAGACCTGGAGTGGAAGGACAGAAATCGTCTCAGGCATTGAGACAGATTCATACGATTCCTTGTTTATTGGCAACTGCCGTCGCAACTAGGATCGACATTGAATCCCAAGGGACAACATGAAAAGTCACGGTGCAGAAGTCGGAAAAAAAACTGCAGGCAGACCTCCAATTTGTGGTGGGATGGGGTGGTGAGGCCTAAAAAACGAAGTCAAGCTGGCCACACAACTTGCGCATACTTGCGCTGCGCTCCATGACGCACCTCACAGTCCTTCCCCACCATTGGGGGGTACCGGAGGGTTGGATTTACACAAGGCTATGTGACAAAACATGCAACACCAAAACCGCAAGGTTAACCGGTTTTTTGCCAGGTTAAGTCCAACGCGAATTATCTTCAACTGTTCGTGATTTCAAGTCAAGCAAAGTACGAATTTACTGGTCGATACGTATTTTGTCAAGATCGATTTTATTGCGTATACATTTCTTCACACGTTGGTAGAGGTTATGGTGTTGCATAAACCAAAGATCGGCTGGCATTTCGGAGGACACAAGAGAGCAATCTATATAAATTTGGCACAAACGGAAGGCGAACATCAAGAGGATACGATTGTCCAGGCAAGGCGGCATATGCTTTCAAAAAATTAGTGGCCTGGTGCCACAAGCTTTGGACTTCAGGATTTTGTAAAGAAACTTCGGGTGAAAGAAATCAAACGGATGAGTTGGGTGGCTATCTTTAACCTTTAGCCAAATCGGCATACAGCGACCTGCAAAAAGTGCAACATGGATAACGAGCTCATACCATGTAATTCCAAAATCATGTTTGGCCACAGGTAAATCAGGTGCTGAAAAAAGAGCCATACACAGTGTGCGATTTGTGCCCCGGCAGGACATGCATGCGCAATTACAGCATGTAAATCGCCAGAGAATTTCCACACTGGACCCTCAACCTGCCACGTGCCCAAAACCTGCTGCATATGTGAGATGTCATCAAGACCTTGTGTATTGGCTTCACCTACCAAAAGCTGGCAGGATTCACCTACCAAAAAGACCCCCCCAGGCAACAAAGATTGCGCCGAATTGGTGAGAAGAGAGCCAACCATGAAAAAAAGGGCACAAGGAGCCGAAGGAAAACAACGCCTCTTGGCCAAAAACAGGCCTCATCACCACGGGGAACAGAATCCAACTAGTGTGATCGATCGGGATGGCCGCGGCCCGTCATGGGAAGTATTCTTGCGAGAGACTTCGAAAGACCTCTACAGCTGGCAGGAACTCGGCAAGTTATATAACAATTTCAATTTCATCCTCAACTTCACACATCTTTCTGGTGCAGGCTTTTGCTTGATGTTCTGTGCGCTCTGCCCGCTGGTTCCGGATGTCATCCATGAATTTGGAGCCAAAAACCTCGAGCAAGGAGTTTTCTGCACAGTTTGCAGCTTGGCTGGAACAGCACAAGCAAGCAATGTTCAAACTTGAGCTTGGCTTAGCCGGAACGTCACGGTGACGCCTAAGTCCCCGCACTGCTGCTTGATGTGCGTATCGAGTCCTGAAAATGCAAAGATTTAGGAACCAAATCAATCATGCGAGGCGTTCTTCGAGGGGGCGCCACTAGTAAACTAGTAGCTAATGTAGCTACTCTTGTTAGCTACTTGCAAGCTACCTCTGCACGACCTAAAAGAAAAGGCATGTACCCATTGTCCCGTCTGTTTGATGCGGCTCCCTTGGGCTCCAACCCGGCATACTCTCCCAGAGCAGCCCCTGGCTGAACCAGACTTGCATCATCCTCACGGTTTTTGTGGAATTCCTTCAAAAGTGTGCTTTGAGATTCCGTTGTAATAGGCAAGCAAATATACGGATGGTTCTATGACTGAATCCGCCCAAAGGTACAAGTCAAACAACAAAACTAGAGAGAAGCATTTGGGCAAAACATATTGAACACGTTTGAAAACTCTTAGGACCATGCATGGTGAACCCACTGCTCAATCGGGGTGTACCTTAGAATAGGCTGTGAAGTGTGCGAGCCATTGCAACTTTACTGGCAATCAAAGTTTTGGAACATCCGCAGGCAAAGGCCATCTGATCATCTGAGTCAGGCACTTGCCGGTCTTTTTGATTACTTCCTGCGCCACTACACCACCGAGGAAGGCGCACATCCTTGAGGCAAAAGGGCAGGAAAATGCTATCAGGTAGTTGGTGGGGCTTTGGAGAAGCTTGTGTTAATATATATAGATCTAAAAGGTTCTTACATCATTGATAGAGGATCTCATTTACGCCCGAAGCTGCCATAACGCAACCCAAGAAGAACAAATAGCGCGAAGCCCGCTTCTGCAGGAAAGTTGTATTTCTGCGGCCAATGTCACGCTAAGTGCACTATCACTTCGGCACCAGGAAGTGTGGGCTTTGCCACTTCCAAACGTCAAGCCGTGGTCTGCTCTCCTGCATCCCCAAGTGCATGTCCCACCAGCATTCGTGAAAACAAAGTCACCAAGGGGCAGCTGGGTTGTGTAGAATTTGGTCAAGGGTCCAAGGATGTCCTCATACAAGCCTAGTCTGAGCTTAGAGCCAAAGCTAATAGGTTGGAGACCATTGCTTTTAATTAGGTTGGAGACCATTGCTTCTAGGTTGGAGGCTATTGCTCCTAGGTAGGGGTACAAACCTAGTCTCAGCTTAGGGCGAGACATGCAGGACCAAAGCTTTCCAGCCCCTCTCAGGTTGTGCTTCTTACTCATCATGCAGCCTGCGCTGACTGCAGCTACTGTCAAGCTTGGCAACAGTAGCATCTAACGCACTCAATAGTCAGTATTGTGCAGATCACTGTGGTCAAGTTTCTCTGCCTGCAAACCGTGCAATCCCACAGACAGCTTGACTTGAAAGCAAGAGTCTATACCATATATAATCCTGAAAAATATCTGCAAACACAGGTAAAACGTCTTGTAAATATATATATATCACTTCGACGGGTACGCGCACAAACACCTTTTTGGCCAAGCACATCGGTCTCAATGTGACTCAGCTCAAGATTAAGATACCCGCAGGGAAAGGCGGCCAAAGTGTGTCAATATTTGAGGGCCCAAACAATATGGCAAGCATGCTAGTCACAACTGGGGATTTGCCTTTATTTGCCCACCAGTGATGTGCTGACTGAAAACCAAGCTCGGTTCTTCAACTGCTCACCATCTCCACTGCCGATGTTCAAAGGCTATACTGAGGTTTTGCCCCTTTTGCTGTAGCAAGGGGTTGCCCAACAGCTAGCCAGCTGTGTGAAGCTTGTGTTCAGTATGAAAACCTCCCTCCGAAAGGATTCCAAACACAGAACGTATCTCATGGTCGTCTGTAAGTTGCAATCATCTGGATAAAACCAATACCTTCTTACATCTGGCAGCTGTGCCTGGGACTTCACATTCCTCTGATGATGGACTAGTGACTAGTGATTCACATCCACCCATCACAGCAGAACAAAGGTTGAAATGGTCAGCCGAGGTTGGCCAAAGCCACAGAAGATCAAAATAATGGAAGCACGTAACTTGTGCTGGAAAGGGTCCATCTGGATCGTCAAGAGAACACAGGACGAACTGAAAATTAACCTGAATCGTGTACCATTTGCATCACTTGCTCAGAAAATCTGCAGCATGAACTCTTCACGAGTCCAAGAACGAATTCTTCCTGTTGTACCATGCACGGCAGTCAAGTACATATTATTTACACAAGGCAAACCATAGACTGAATACGCTCGTCTTAAATTCTTTAAGTACCGATGTCAAATCAGTCTTGTAGTCAGAGTTATGAATGCCTGCCAGGCTTGGCACCAGGGCAAATGTAGCTTTCGTGCATTGGATTCTGTTCCTACAATCCACGGCATGTGTCGTTTCGCATCAAACAAACCAATCGACCAACTCTCATTGTTGCCCCAGCAAGATCCTAAGCAAATCCTTGGAACACCTTCTACCTGAAGCAAACGTAAACGACGCGGTTCGGCGATGCTGGAAGCTTGCGCCAGCGTGCACTCCTCTGAATCTGACTGGTGCGGAGGATGACTCCTGTCGGACGAGATGGCATTGCTGGATGCAGCCGAAAGGTGCTGATAATGCGGAACGTGTTAGGATTGTTAGGTGTCCTGTTCAAGTCGTATGGGTACACAAAGCGTTACAAATCATATACAAATTTATTAATGCTACGTTTTGATAAATCCGTTGGCAGGCTTGCATTGATGTGTATACATGAAGCTGTACAAAGAAGACGTGCCTCAGGCACCACCACGGCGATGACTTGGTGACGTGACAGTCTTCTCCTCAGGACCATCGATCGAGGTGACTGTGTTCCATACAGTGTGTGTGTGTGTCAACACCTGTTTCCAAGGTTCGTGCCCGGTAAGTATGCGTGCAGCAGGTTTTTTACTTGAAGAAAGGATGCTACTAATGGTTTCTGGCCTCGCTACTAGGAACAAGAAACCGCTAGATCAAGGGCATCGCTACTAATTAAGAAGAAAGAGGCAGGGACAGGGATGCAGAAAAAGAAAAAGAAGCAGGGGGCCACCGGGGTCCCAGAGGAGCGGTGGCCAACGAAGACCTCCTCTGGGACCCGCGTAAACGTACCTGCATTTTTAATAACTGTTTAGACCGCCGTTCCGTGTCTGCTAGGTATTCAGTAAAGCGGCTAATGCATAGGCGGTCTGCTAAGTATTCAGTAAAGCGGCTAACGCATAGGAGCTGCAGACTTGCACCAAACAATTGTTCAAACACCGTCAAGTCTTCTGACCTTCCACCTTTCCGTTCCCTCACCTTTTTTCGACCTGGGAATAGAATAACAGCAAACCAATGTCAGAGTGTGAACCGCTCAGTCGTCCCACTTGGGTGCTGGGTGTGATCTCCCGCAAGGGAGCGCCGTTTCATGCTTGAGTGCCACTAACGGATTTCACCGCGTTCTGCATTTCTTGCATTTTCTTAACCGAATTTGT